TATATATATATATATATTTATAATATAGATATATATATGTATAGTCGTAGTATAGATATATATATGTTTATGTAGTAATGTCAGTGAAATTTGTATTAATTTATTAATTTAGAAACAAAAAAAAATAAAAAATAAAAATAAATATTAAATATATAAATATAGAAATAAATAAAATAATAAACAAAAATAAATAAAAAAATACAAAAGAAAACTCAGAGGTTGATAAGCAGTGGGGCCTTCGGCTGTTTTTTTAAATAAAATAAAATAAAATAAAATAAAATAAAATAAAATAAAATAAAATAAAATAAAATAAAATAAAATAACATAACATATTAAATAAAATTAAATAAATAAAACAAATTAAATTTAATTAATTTACATATTCCTTAAGAATTCATCTTTTGTGTATACTGAGGTGTACATACACCTCAGCCCCCCCCCCGCTGCATGCGCTATATTTCCGTCTTTTTTTTTTGCTTTTTTTGCGTAATTTAAATAAAAAATTAAATAAATTTTATAAAAATTAAAATAAAAATTGAAATGCAAATTAAAGAAAGCGTTATTTGTTGGTTGTGGGGCCCCGTGGCTGCTGAAATAGAGCTGAAATCCCTATGCATGCGTTTGGTGTTTTTTTGTGTTTTTTTCACTTAAAATAAATATTTTTTTTTAATTTAATTCATTAAATATATTAATTTAATTATTCTTTTTATTTTTAGCCGAAAATTTCCTTTTTTTTTTGCTTTTTTTTGCATCTTTTTCTCTCCTCTTTGGCTGCATGCAGTGATATTCAAATTCATAAAAACAAAGAAAGAAACATATATTATTATTTCGTTTTTTTTGCTTTTTTTTTATTTTTTTTACATTATTTTATATTTATTTTTATATTTTTATATTTTTTTTTATTTTTTTTTATTTTTTTTATCTTTTATGCATCAATATTTCAGTAACCAGCAGCAGCTCTGTATACCATAAGAGAACAGCGAATTCAACTTTCTTTTTTTTTCGTTTTTCTTATAAATTATTTATTTTTTTTTCTTTTTTTTTTCTTTTTTTCTTTTTTTAATTTATTTATTTATTTTTTTTTCTTTTTCTTTGCACTGTATGCTGAGATGGGGTTTCCTGTATTTCGTTTTCTTTCTATATTGAATCCCTAACCGAAACACCAGCAGCAACAACCCCAAAAAAAAAAAAAAATAAATAAATAAAATAAATAAAATAAATAAAATAAATAAAATAAAATAAAATAAAATGAACGCCTTTTCAGGTTTCTGTGTCCCTGAGGTAGAGGGTTTCGGCCCTATAAGAGGAAGCAGCAAAAGCAAGCAGCAGCAGCAGCAGCAGCAGCAGCAGCAGCAGCAGCAGCAGCAGCAGCAGCAGGAGCAGCAGCAGGAGCTGCCAGTATTGGATGCAGTGAGTGTATTAGATATATCCGGGTGTATAGGGGGAGATAGGTTTGGGGTGTATAGGCAGCTATCCCCTTGTTTAATACATATAATAAATTCTTTTTCTTTTTCTACTAATATATGTTGTATAGATGCATGCAGCAACATATATATGATAGATACAGAGCAGCAATTGAGGTGTATATACACCATAAACTCAGCGCATGCAGCCCCAATCACCTCTGCTTCTTTTCTACATAATAATAAAAATATCTTAATTACTGCAGCACAAGACGGATGCGTAAAATACTGGGACTTGCGGGCTCCTCACAGCAGCAGCAAGCAGCAAACACCACCAGCAGCAGCAGCAGCAGCAGCAGCAGCAGCAGCAGCAGCAGCAGCAGCAGCAGCAGATGCAGCAATACAGATAGCTCCAGCAGGCAGCAGAGCAGCAGATATGTTTTCTTTAGCTGTAAATAATGATGATTTGCTTTTTGCTGTTTCTTATAAAAATACAATTAAGGGCTTCGATCTACGCGCTCTATCTACACCTTCTCCTGCTGCTGCTGCTGCTGCTGCTGCTGCTGCTGGAGAGCAGCAGCAGCAGCAGCAGCAGCAGCAGCAGCAGAAAAAAAAAAGTATAAAGCAGAAGAAAAATAAAAAATTATTATTTGATTTAGAAATACACGGAGACACCGTAACATCTCTGCAGTTTCACGGGGTGTATAGGCAGCTCTTATTTTCTGGGGGTGAGGATTCGTTGGTGTGTATAAGCGATACAAATGCTGCTGCTGCTGCTCACACCAGCAGCAGCAGCAGCAGCAGCAGCAGCAGCAGCAGCAGCAGCAGCAGCAGCGGGGCAGAAGAAGCTGCACTTGTGTATTGTTTCTCTCAGGATAGAGCAGTAAAAAACTTTTCTTTAATAGGGCCTGGGGCTGCATGCGTTTGCATCACCAGCGGTATGGAGGATGTGGGGCTGTGGCAGCTAGAAGGCTTAGATACCTGCTGCTGCAGCAGCAGCAGCAGCAGCAGCAGCAGCAGCAGCGGGAGCGGGAGCAGCGGGAGCAGGAGCGGCAGCAGCAGCAGCAGCAACTGCAGCAGCAGCAGCAGCATGAACAACAACAGCAGCAGCAGCAACAGCAGCAACAGCAGCAACAGCAGCAGCAGCAGCAGCAGCAGCAGCAGCAGGAGTGTGTATGGATACAGAAGAGCAGAATGGCTGAATATA